ATCGAGACTACCAGCTAGATTCAATAATGAAACTAATATTTCTGGATTTATTTAGCGTAAAATAATCTTTACAAATGTATAATACGATACACAGGATTCTGTCTGGCCCATGTACAATGTATGGACATTCTATGGTGGTCCCTGGGTAGCATTCCAGCCCGGCGCCATGTCACAGTCGCACACAATGCGCAACAAACCGCAATGACGTTCGCATGAAATATCTTTTCAAATTGAACAAATCTAGTTCATTTTTTAGGTTAAAAAGTGTGAAATCAAATTTTACGTTTGTTTGGCATTTTTTTCATTTGCAAAACAGTCAAGACGATATTCATATCCCTTTTTACACATTATTAAAGCTCACCTTTACATTGTTTCAGCTGAATGATAGAAGAAAAAACAAACTCTCACTTGGACACAATCCAAATAATAAACAAAGATTTGTTCATTTTGAAAAGATGAACTGTCTGAACACTTAGGTGGTGAGAAGCAATGTAAAGCAAATAACTTTCTCAAATATATCAGTAGTCTGCTGGGGATCGAACCTATGACCTTCTTGCATATCTAGCCCAGTCAGTAGACCGTGCCACCACTGCAATATAGGTCTTTCTTTGCGCACCACTCACCTATACAAAGCAATCTCTATCAAAATCATCAGGCAAATAATAGTTACATGTATAATACATGTACGTATTCTCAAACATTCAGTGTAAATTCCGTTTGGTTGTATCATACAAATATGTTCACCGTGAACGAATGATTGTTGTAAAGATAGAATCGACATGTTTACTAATGTTTTTACTGAAATACCTTCCTCAAGGATATCAGTAGTCTGCTGGGGATCGAACCCATGATCGAACCCAGGAGGCGCGGTAGCTCAGTCGGTAGAGCAGTGGTCTCATAATACGGTGACCCGGGTTCGAAACCAAGTCGATGCGCTAGTGCCCTTTGGTAAGGCATTAATCATTATTACCAGGTCCCTCGGAGAGGACCTAAAGCCGTCGGCAGTCTGGTCGCTTACTTACAAGCATTTATGCTTCCTTAGCAGTCAGGTAAAATAACCACCAACACCAATGTGATTACTAACTATCTAATGCACCTGATATACATCATTTTATCTCTATAGACGGAATCCGCTTTGGTTACATTATCTGTTGCTATGTTTGGAAATAGGCCATTTTCGTAATGTAACCAAATTTAATGCATAAGTCTTTGTGAAGTGCCTCAATACACATTATTTCATTCACCTGATAAGAATAATAGTATTTCAAGAGACAGAATCCGAACTGCATACATTAGTTGTTTCCAGGTTGGACAAACATTACGGCTTGACCTACCTAGCAATACTTAATACATGCAGTTGCAATCTGTCTATTGAAATACTATTATTATTATCAGGTGAATGAAATAATTTGTGTTGATGCACTTCACAAAAACTTATGCATTAAATTTGGTTACATTACTGTATTGTAGTCATCAAGATAAACTTATGTTCAAGAGACATGCATACAATTAGGAAAGAGGTGTATCGAAGAAGAAAAATGGGTTGCTATGGTTACACAACATCAATTCTATACTGCAATGATTCTAACTCCCTGGTCAAACGTTGTCTGACCTAACAGTATTGTTGTATACCGCGTGTTTCCATATAAGTGTCACTATGAATATGACGGACAAAGAAAGAGGACAAAATATACAGTTCCTCATACTACCCTCAACAGTTCCTCTGGTAGACAAAGGAACATCCCTTCACTGCTATTATGTAAAATGTGTAGAACAGGTGTCACATGCATATTTACCTGTTCTACACAGTTTTACATAATAGCAGTGAAGGGATGTTCCTTTGTCTACCACAGCAGTTGTTGAAGGTAGAATGAGGAACTGTATATTTTGTCCGCTTCCTTTGTCTGTCATGTTCATGGTGTTACTTGTTTGAAATTGTAAACAACTACTGATGCAATTACTGGATGTAAATATACCCATGAAAGGTATGTAAATCACATTCATTTATACATAGTCAATGCATTCCATTAAAACCAGATGGTGGGAGTATTTCTTCTGTAGTGGTAAAATGCCATGCATGAAATGAAAGGAGTCTGGATGATTCGGGAGTAGGGTGAACTAGGCATTACATGGGTTATTAGGTTTTAAAGTGCAAGTCGCTATACACCAGACTAGAACTCTAAGTAGCCCATTTTTGTTTAAAGAATTTACATCTCTAAAACAATCTTTTTTTGAATTACTTAAAATGTTTCATACATTCCTGTCAAATAAAGTTGAAAATCAATGTCTAAGGCACACGTACTGTACATAGTGCAAAACTCATTTAAGTCTGTACAAGCAATAAAAGCTCTCCTAGCTAACTCTGCCTTGATATGGGGCCAAGCATAAGTTGACCCTAGATCTATAGCCGTGTTGTGTCAGATCCGCCATAAAGAACCTGGACCTGGAGTTGAGGGTAGAATGAGGAACTGTATATTTTGTCCGTCATGTTCATAAGTGTGACAATAGATTGGTTCCTTTTGACATCATCTCTATCGGATGTCCAATAATTTGTTTAAATAGTTACTGTATGCCCCTTGTGTCTGAATGTCATGTCACCCTCTACCCACTTTTCTGCATCTCTTAGAGCAGGCCCTTTCAACTAGTTTATTAGAAGTGCCAAAACGAAAATAATTTGTAGTTGAAGTGCCAACCTGTATGTTTGACTGTCCTGCGAGAGAGCGTAGCTACTAAGCCAACGAAGGGAGGGGTCCATGGGTAAAGCCCCAAACGGGGGTGCAGGGGGCAGAGCCCCCTGAAGCTGGCGAATGTTAGGACTTTCTAAAGCCAAAGGTTTCAGATATGGCATTTTTAACACATTTTTTATTCCAAAATATATCAATCATTTTATATTTCATATTGATTTGAACAAATTTGTACAATTCCTGGGTACAATTACTCTGGAGGCATATTTATGATGTAGTTTTTTTTGTATGCAATAAACAGTGGAAATGTTAAAATTGGTAGCACATCGTAAGCTTATTGTTGTTTAGAGCTCAGGTTTAGAGTCGTATAAAATGGTAAAAAACGTTAAATTCCACTTCGACTGGGACTTCTTGGTTTCAAAGAGTTTTTAATCCTAAAATATGATATTGTTTGCAACAGTCGCGCGCCACTCCGACTGACTGAAAGCGCCGCCAGTTGAGAAGGCCTGTCTTAGAGCTTGTATTACTTTGCGATCGCAGATAGTTTCCTTAGTCATGTTTTTGTCGATGCCTCTATCTAATTTTAAGTTAACAAAATGTAAGTTTTTTTTTTTTTTTTTTAAATGAGATAAATTTGTTTATTTGAAATGTAAAACATATTTGGCTTGTGGTTACTTTAAAAATAATACTCCGTCAAATCATTTCAAAGCAATATTAGGATATTAGAAAAATATGACCTCAATACCAAACTGAAAAAAATGTACAAACGCATGTGTGTTTGTTGAGAGAGAGAGAGAGAGAGAGAGAGAAAGAGAGAGAGAGAGAGAGAGAGAGACGGAGAGAGGGAGAGAGAGAGAGAGACAGAGACAGAGGTACAGACAGAGAGAGGAACAGAGACAGAGAGAGAGAGAGAGAGAGGGAGAGGAAGACAGAGAGGAAGAGAGAGACAGAGACACTATTAAACAAGAACTTGGAATGGGTCTGGAGGTCGTGTGGTAGTTGACTAGTCCAGAAGTCCGAAGATAAATCTCTCCGCCCCGTCTCAATAAAGTTGCCCTTCGCTTTATCAATAGTTTACATAGATTATAAAGGCAGCATGCACAATCGATGGTGTAAGATAAAGTAGGTCGGGTCATCGAACTTTGAGTTAAAAGCGAGCATGCGCGCAAGGCCTAAGCGTTTTCGAAAATACAAACGTTTACCGTCATAATCGGCATCAAAGGATCGGAGGCCGGGGCCGGGGTCACCAAACTTTGCAAAAGTCAGGCGAGCATGCGCGAGCCTCAAGCGCGTTGAACCATGTAAGCGTCCTACGTCACAATTGGAATTTGCTGAAGTCGGATAAATTAGGCCGGGTTAGCGAACTTTGCAAAAGTCAGACGAGCATGCGCGAGTTTCAAGCGCGTTAAACAATTTAAGCGTCCTACGTCACAATTGGAATTGGCTGAAGTCGGATAAATTAGGCCGGGTCACCGAACACGCGCTTTATTGATTAGCGCATTCAACAATATGAGTGTCTTACGTCACAATGGTTGACTCAGCTATATTAGTGAGCGTAAAACGGTTCAGATAGCGTCACAAATACATGTGTGGGAGGGTAGGTGAGAGAGAGAGAGAGAGAGAGGGGAGGGGGGGGGGGGGGGGGGGGTTATCGGAGAATGAAGCGGCAGTGACGTTGGCGGGTATTTGTTTTTGTTTATTGGGATAGGGGGGGGGGGGTAGCCAGCCAATACTAATGATGTTTTGTGCAACCATAGTTTGTCTAATGCAGTTATCATACATTATTTGCTTAAATTGTAGAGACGTGTACAAACACCAATTCATGTCGAATATATTTGAACCCTTCTATTTATCGAAATTGTGTTTTGTTAGTTAAAGCTACAAAGCTCAAGGGGGATCGAGAGAGATATAGAGAGGGAGATTATATTCTTTTCTTTTAATTAATATATGCAGATGATATAAATGTGAGAGTAACAAAAGCATAACCATTGTGATATGTTTTCTGTCATTTATTTTGTCTGACAAGCCCTTTTTTTTTAATCATCTCTTGATTAGCAAAAGAGCTAATCTCTAATGATAATCCAATCCCTTACCTTTAAATCAATCACCTTTTTATTCGGGTATAGTAACCTTTTTCAATGGCTTGATGAGCTGGACTGATAAAATATGCATTCATCCCTGGCCTGCGATTGGTCGAAAGTTTGTCGATGGCTAGCAACGGACCACCCGCTGCAGTGTTATACCCCCTGGAGGAAAGGTTGCTCTCCCCCTGAGGTCACCCAAAAGGCACGACCCGGAAAGTCAATTGGAAAGAGGTCAAATTTCGCGAAATATAATGTAAACTTTACGGAGCCTCCGCGAACGAAAAGATGGGGAGAAAAGCGAACAAAGGCTGCCTTATTCAACCGAATTTAGTCTCTTCTGCATAGCTGGGTAGAGTAAAAGGTGCAGTATGTGATTTTTAATCTGATTCGTGAGATATGAATGATAAAATGGTATAATTGAGGGTTGATATGCGTGAATAAGTGAGAGTTGAGTTGAAGAGTGCACTGTGCCAGTGGCAGTTCGTTGGAGAGGCATCATCGATCTGTGTCTCGCGTGCACAGCTGTATACAGTCATACATGACTGAAGAACGGGAAATGGCAATTCCATTCATACCCGAAGTGAGATTGCAATAAGTACATGTGAACAACTGCGGAGCTTTGCAGTGCAGTGATTGGTGATAACCATGAACCGTGTTGAAATGTTCAAGTTTTCTTTATGATTATCTGTTGCATGTTTATGAATTATGTTTGGGGTGGGTATTTAATTAAATTCCATGAATTTGGAAGAATTACTTCAAGATCAAGTTGGACTGGAGACGAGTCTAGACGGAAAGCTTCATTAATCACTAACTTCAGTCTCATCAGTCCGCTGAGACTATGTCGGGCTCCACTGACCGCCTCTATACGTATACTGAGACTGAAGTACAAAGTACAGTTAATGAAGGGAGGTTACGCAATGCAGTTTTTTGTGATGGCCAATTTTTTCACGCAAGTAGCTTCATGAAAATTGAAAGTTTAGCTCTAAGTCGGTCCTTATATTTTTATGTTTTACAATGATTTTCTTATATATTACATCTAAGTTAGATTTATTTTATTTCCAATCATCATCTTTTCTAAATCAAACTGTTAAAGGAGGAGTCCACTTTGATATTATCTTGGTTGTAATAAAAGCAGAAAAATGATAGTACATCAGTAGCATACAACTAGTGAAAGTTGAGCAATATCCAATTACGATAGGGAAGTTGTAAGTTTTTGAAGTTATCATCAGCGAAACACAAATTGAGAACACTGTGAGGTATCCTGCGAGCTCTCCTCCAAATTGCTTTTTTCTTAGTTATTGATGACAGAATAAACTTGTTTCATACAGGGATTGTATAAAACATATTTGCAGTACTGGTAATTATATTTAGGGTGAATGTATGATTGAACATTTTCTTAATGGAAAGTGTACATTTTTGAAGGGCAGATGAGATGGGAGGGGACCTTGCAAGATTATAGATATGCCACAGATTAGCTAGTTTGTGTTTGATTGATGGCACATTCAAATATTCATATATTTGTTATTTTTAAGTGGGTTTTGCTCAAACTTTCACTGACCCGTTTCATATTTTTGCTTCAATTAAAACCAATTATTTCTCCATCAAGTCTAGATAAAGAAAAACAGAGGGCAAACTTTTTTTATGCATTCCGTTGAAAATTCACTAATTAATCCCCCTCCCTTGTGCATGTGGCAAGGGTTGCCGTCTGTGTATTGGGAAGGTAAACAGTTGTCAGTTTTATCAAGGAATACCAGTCTAGAGTGGGCGTGATAAACCTCGTAATTTCAGATTTTCCTGATCATGATGACAAGAAAATGTTTCCTGTTGTTGTTTTAAAGATAAACTTGAGTACTGGTAATGCGATTGCATTGTGAAAGAAAAGGTGTGGAATGGATCAGAAAAATTAATCATGTAAGTAATGGTGTGTAATGCAAGGTTCTGGAGTCATCAAAATCATCATAAATTTGGCAGAGTCTTGGTAAAGTAACAATCACTGACACAGAAAGGTGTATATGGGACAACACACATGGTGTCGGGGCTAGTACTACCCTGATTTCCTTATCTTTCTATGCTCATTACTCAGGCAGTATACATTTTCTTCCAAAATTGTTTGGCACATGACATTTATTTGTAATCTTGAACATGCAGTGTAAGTTTCGTTAGATTCTGTGAGAATTCATTTTCTTTTTTTTTACCAAAACGCATGTTTATCTTTAACATTCATTGAGTTACCGCGATTTCTAGTGTCCATGGAGTCAAACGCTATTGAATATTCATTGTCCGTGCTGTGAAAATAATTGAAACAGTGAGAATGTTGGTCATGGGCACATCACATCCCAGCCCATCTTTTCTAGAGATTTTAGTCTTGAAATTTTCCAGTCACACGCCCTTCTAAATAATCATAGATGCCCAAATAATTAGCAAAATTGATGGAAAAATCACCTTTTTCCAATTTGAAAACATTCTTTATAAGCTAAAAAACATTTTGAAGATGAGATTTCTGTCAACTTGATCAATTGAAATTTGAGGGTGTTTTTTTTGTACCGTGGTAGCCAGTGATCTCCTTTTAAAATCAAGTTTTTAAACACGTGCTGCCCCCAAATCCAAAATATAGAAATTCACTCGAAGGTTAATCATGTTATATGTGATACTGGCACTTTTTTTCTTTGGCCCAGTTCATCCTTGTATTTTCTAGATATTAATGACACTTTCCTGCACACGAGAGCTTTGCTCCCTAATAGCAACACAAAGCTTTAAATGATAGGCAGTAATACAAGTTATTTGACACCAGACCCCGCCCCCACCCCCCACTCAGTGTTATTTAGGGTACACGTATGCATGTTCCCTCCTTTTGAAAACACCCCCACCCCCCCTAAGCCTGGTGTGTAAAGTCAATACGGGCCGATTTTGTGTGTGTTAAAAGCCAGAATTTGCTGCGTGAAAAGTACCCCTTTACCGAACATTTTTTTAACATGCATGCAGTCCCCCGTTCCCAGAGTGAGGGGCCAGGCACCAGACCTGTCAATTATTTGTGTCAAAAGCTGATCAAGTTGATCATCAGGAAGAAGACAAGCCCTATTCTAACACTGATGCTTCAGAATCTCAAGTTTGAAAATTTCCTTCTCAGTACCATGGCATTTACCTGTTGGATTACATGTACCGTAGCTGTCAAGAAGGAAGGTGGTCTTTTTTAATAGTCTTGTTTGCATGAGCCTTATGTAAAAATATCAAAATAATCAGGGTCTGGGGCTCTGGGCTTAATTTTTGATGTTAGGTGCCCATGTGAGTGCCTTTTAGTGTCGAGCCATACCTGCTAATGCTATACCTGCTATATTGGATGTTCAAAAGGATAGGATAGTGACAAGAAACTGGTAATTCATGGTTCACTTTTTCAATTCAAGGTATTTATTCACTCATTGTAGCCAAAAGCTAAATTACAAATGAATTTTACAGAATTCGAAACATTAAAAACATATAAATTTCGCCAACAATCCCCCTCATCCTAAAATGATGAAATTTCCACTTCTCTTTTTCAGAAAGAAATCAATGAATTCAAGAGATGGAAATGTCTGGTCGGCGCAAGCAGAAATCTCCACGAAGATTATCAGAAGACCTTGAAGACCTTGGAGATCTGCCTCAAGAACAATCTGGAGAACAAATGAATCAAGCAGATAATTTAATTACAGGTATAGTTACCATTTATCCTCTTCAACTTGCTGTTTAAAGGCATCATTTAACAATGTTAAATCTGAGATGCATGGCCCTATGTGTTATCAGTTTTTTTTTATATGGTGTAATATTGAAGCCCTAAAAAAAATTGTGCTTCAAAATGATCAAGAAGTGCCTCAAAAAATAAAAAATATTTCAGTGACCGGTATTACCTTACTTGTTTTTCTTAATAGACTGTACTGTTATGGAAACTGTTAGGAAAGCGCAAAATTTGGTTTCGATTTCCAATCATAAATATCTTGATAATCAGACAGTCATGGGGTCCCTGACTGACCTACATGTAAAGGTTAATAATTATCATTGCAGCATGAGCTAAATCCAGGATTTAGTTTCAGAATCCGAGGCAACGTTAGGCTGAAATCTTTCGCCCAGAATATAAAGCTGGTTATACCTTCATAAGATTGTCTTTATGGAAGATCCACCCATAAAACAAGGAATAGAAAATAGATATTTTGATCTTGAAAATTTACAGTAGTTACTGGTAATTCAGTTGGCATGGAAGGGACTAAACTTTCTTCGACAACCACATGTATTTAAAGACATGGGCAGCATTCCACAGATTCGTCATTAGTACAAGCTTGCCAACAATCCTTTGAAATGTTTGCATTAAATTTAGCACATATTATTTTAATGGGATGTCTGTGAAATTGTACCTATGACTATCTTTTGAAACGATGCCCATCTGCCCAAAACGAATTAAAGATAGCATTCCCCCCCTTGAATCACTATTTCTCACTAACACATTTAGGCGAGAGAAACTAAATGTGAGGACTTTGTGTGTCTCCCCTTTCTATGTACACTTTTGACTGTAAGTACTGTAAAGGGATCACTAAGAACAAAAGTTATAAAGCATGGTAGACATGATTTTCATTTTCCAGAAATGTAGGTCCTGTTCATTTTATTTTTTCATGATGAATTTAAAAATATCTGTATCCTTCCTGGAAAAAGAAATTAAAATGAAAACAATTTTTGGGGTCTTATTCACCTCATTGTTTTATTATTCATCCTGCATCTACCTGTACATGTAATAGTCCTACATATTCAGGAAGCGATTCAAACATTTTCCTTTTTGCCACACATCTGGTAATGTGAATGATATTAACGATATTGCTCAAAACAAATTCTTACTGCTGAAATTGCTGTTGATACAAATTCACAAAGTTTCTTCATTTTGCAACAGTTACTGTTTTGGGCTCTAAAGTCTGTGATTGGTTTTCTATACCGTATTATGATAATTGTGTTTACCCTTTTCTTTGTAGAAATCAAATCTTCCTTGTGCCACCTATGCAATTATGAGTTTTCTGGGCCCGGCCAGCTGGCCATCCATCTCAGATACGTCCACCAGCAGATAGCCCAAATTTCACCCAAGGTCAAGAAGGCGTCAGAAGGTCAAAGTTCAAATGAGAAAGTAGCAGAAGAGGGCAGCAGAGATGAGTCAGAATGTGAGGCCAGATCTAGTCCGGCTCTGCAAGGTGAGTTTTAAAGGCCCACTGCACTACTTGTAGCTACTTGCGCCCTCTATACAACAAACAGTGCCTAATCGGTGACCATTGATCCCTTTTTCTTATGTTACATGTAGTTGAGAGCTGAGTTAATGAGATAGCCCCCTGTCAGTGACCTGGCTGGGTGGTCTAATCCCTTCTGTAAACTAGTACCGATAAACTTTAAGAGAAGGGTGGTTTCCAGTAAACGTAACAAGATAATATGTGAGCTTCTTTTTATTCCTATTATTCTTATTATGTCGAAGAAAACAAGTAGCAATGTCACATGTTTCTTAAATTGCCACATATTCCAAATATAACTGATTATATAATTTGAAAGTATGGTATTCCAAATGTGTGTGTAGTCCCATGTACCCATATCTGTGTGCAGCCTTCCTACCAGTTTGTGCTTCCGGGCAAGCTTGAGCCAATATCTTGTATTATTTTTGTAGATCCCAAACCTCACAGTACACAATTATCAAATGTACCGGTACTACAAAATGAACCAGGGCTAAATGCTGTAAAGGGCCACCTACAACACTGAGAGGGTGGTTGCAGGGGTGAAGTTAGAAATTTGGTTGGTGTTGAAAATTAACTAGAGAGTAATTGGCGGCGATGTGTTTGTGATACTACGCGTATGGTAGACTAGGGCATCATCTTCATCAGCATTAAACAGCCAATACCATGCTGTGGGTTGGATGTTTCATTGTTGGTATGGTCCATCTCTAAGCCGGAAGTTTATTTCCCTCCTAAATCCTAGCTAAGCCTGCGAGGTGTACACGGATGTTACATGTACTCGTGATCATACCATATCAGTCAGTGAAAAAAATACACGGGGCTGGGGGCGAATGAGCCCCCGAAATGCCCAAAAGAGCCCCAGAAAGTCATAAAAGAGCCCCCCAAATTTGCATTGAGTTCAATGCAAAACAAGTTAAAGAGTGTTATTTTCATGCAAGCGAGCTTGAAAAGTAGCCCCCACAATTTTTCCCCTGATATCAGTCTGGCCATCCTTATCTCATGTGAGATTTTAGCCAACCCTATGGATTGGAGAAGACTTTCATTTTTCTTTCTGTCTTGTAGAGAGGTCTTACCATATCTATCATTATGGACTAGAGCAAGTCACTTGTATTTTGGTCTATATAGACTATTACAGCTGTGCCATGGACCCAGCATGGCTTGTAGTAAAGTATTGTGCTGAAAAGCAGTACTAACAGAAAAGATAAGTGCTTCAAAGATGTTTTAAATGTTAAATTGCTATTTTCATTCTTTGGCAAACACCAACTATCCTTGCATCATAAACATGTAGTGCGTATCCCCCCCCCCAAAAAAAAAAGAAGGTATAATCAAGTAGGGCTGCGACGAGTAGTTGAATGCTCGAGTACCCACACGGCAACTCGAAGTAAAATTGCATGAGTTTTTGGAGACGAACCTGGGATACTGCTCCTGTGGTATGGTGGAGGCAACAAAAAATTAAAAAATTAAAAATTAAAAATTAAAAAAATTAAAAAAATGTAAATTAAAAAAAAACATGGCGTCCGAATATTCGAGTTTTCGCTTGTAAGCCTGGGAGTGTACTCGGGTACCTCATTACACAGTTGTGCACAGCCTTATAATCAAGGAATAAGTAGTACATGTATGTACCTGGTAATGAGATGTTGTTTAATGTGTATGTTGTGTCTTTTCAATAAAGTTTCTCACAAACGTGGAGATGCTCAGGAAAAAAGACAATGTAATTATGATAAATCCTGACTTTCATTGAATTATGAGCAAGAAATAGCATCAGGTGTGGTCTTTAAAGTGTATGATTCCTAGACAGGCCATTATAATGCGTACATTTTAATTACATTCTATTTTTTTTAATTAATCTTTTCCATACTGTCACGCGATATGGCTTTCTTTTCAACAACAGCCCAAACAAGTTACAAAGCACATTACACCAGCAATGCTGTGTAGGCATGTAATTTCTACACGTACAAACATATTGCTCTATGAGTACTTCATTTGAAGTGTATGAGATATGGTAGAAAAAATGTATACAATAGTATTATTTTTCTCATTTTCTATAGACTATCTTGGCACATTGTTAATGTGCAGGTAGCTATCACATCGTATTGATACGATCAATAGGCATGTAGGTGCAGGGCTCTTATTCACAATAATGCTATATTTATAGCAATGGTATAGCATGCATCTCTCTGAACTTTGTACTCTGTTAAAAACTTCTTTTCAATAGAGTCTACATTGTATAGTCTTATGTGTATGTGCCCTGATAGTCCAACTTCTAATGGAACCTTAATGTTATTTTTAAAGGGAGAAGGGACTTAGAAGAAAAACCGAAATTTTATTCCATTTGGGGATGGGAGCAATATTTTGCACTCTCAGTATCTGCATTCAGTCAAGTCAAACCTGGCTATTAAGGCCACCCAAGGGAAACTTAGAAATGGCCACCGCAGAGAGATGGCCTTTCTAGACAAGTTCTATAACACACATTTCCTTGTTAAGGGAGATAAAACCCATGGCCACTATAATACAAAGGTAACCTCTAAAGAGAGGTGGCCACTAAGACCCGAGAGTGAAACTTTTTAGACCTTCAAGCATACAAGACCGTAGTCCACTGCCTGGACTACCCTGTGTCGTGCATCCGATCAGCTGAGAAAATAACGCACCGTGTAAGGCTGTGCATAACGTGTAATGAGGTAATCGAGTACACCCATGCTTACAGGCGAATACTTGAATACTCGACAGTGATTGAGCTGGGAAATGTTTTTACCCACGGTACCACCATGCCGGAGCTCTCCCCGCCGGGCACGGGTAAGCGTCCGCCTGGAAAGTGCCAGGTGCCAGTGACGTGCAAAAAAAAATGGCGGCCGTTTATTCGAGTACGAGAAATCGTACTTAAGTAGTTGTCAACAGCGCGATTACTTGAATATCGCAGCCTTACTCAACACTAAAACGGAGACATTCCTTGACTGGGTTTTTTCGGGGGGGGGGGGGGGGAGGGGGAGGGGGGCTGTGTGAGATGCGTGTAAGAGAGGAGGACATAGATGATTGAAGATTTTAAAATATAAACTGACAGAATCTGGACTAACCAGACCTCTGTTATGGCTTGTTCTTGTAATTTTAACTGTGGCATTTTACCACGACAGCTTGTGTGTACTAAATGAATGGCAAACGTAAATGTAACGGTCCTACGTTTACTCGCTTACTTTAATATTAACATGATTTGTAAGGTACACAAATTTGAAGTTGAGCTGTAGAATGTTTTTTTTCAAGAATAAAGTTTTATTTGAACTAGAACATAATTTTGTGTTTTGGGGGCACTGTTTATGCTGTCTAACCACTAACCAGCCTTTATTGTGTATAGGCACCTACCAGAGAAATTGAGCTGATTTCTATTTTTGTGACAATTGTTTGTATTGTGTAGATAGCGGCCTTGAAAAATGCATTATTCAGGAGTTGAATACTGTCTGTCTGATTCTGTCTGTTTCCGTTGACCTGCTTTTAAAACCCTCCTTTCCCTCTCTCTTTCCATTCTTTTCTCTTTCTCTATGTATTGTACTCTGTCTTGCCAGATATTGGTTTACACTTTTATTCTCTCTGTCTCTCTCTGTCTCTCTCTTTCTCACTCCCTCTCTCTTACCCCAACTGGCTCTCCCAATTTCCCAGTGGCATTCACTGTTTTTATTTTTCTCTGTTTCTCTGTCTTTCGCTGTCTGCCTTCTCAATATGTGTCCCTTGGCCTTTTTCCTTCTCTATCATTTTCTTGATATTGCATCCATCTGCACTTCATGTTCTTCTTTCAATCTTTCTTGATAATTTTGGTTATTTTCTTATCATTTTCATTTACTAACTGACTTTTATCATTCACAACTCATGCACCATGAAGTAGACTTGCATGCCATTTTTACACTGCCTTTTTGTTGAGAGCCATACAAGCATTAAGTCTTTAACTACTGGATTCTCTCATTCCCATAGGCTTTAATACATGAGCCAACCGGTTCCAGTAAACAATGGGTTAATGATAAAACTGATCAGGGTTAATGCCCTTCAGTTCTGGCTTCATGGAGATGATATGAACCGTGTACATGTAGATAGCTTGTTCTGATTGGTCCAAAGTTGTGGGTGAATAGATGTAGAGGTGTCATGGTGTAGTGGTCCATTCACTTGACTCTCCTCCAAGGGTATAGTTTCAATACTCAGCTCGGCATTCACATCTTTTGATACGAACCATGTACATGTAGATAGCTTGTTGTGATTGGTCAAAAGTTGTGGGTGAATAGATGTAGAGGTGTCATGGTATAGTACTTCATTCACTGGTTCTTATGATACAAACCATGTACATGTAGATAGCTTGTTCTGATTGGTCCAAAGTTGTGGGTGAATAGATTAAGAGGTGTCATGGTATAGTACTTCATTCACTGGTTCTTATGATACAAACCATGTACATGTAGATAGCTTGTTCTGATTGGTCCAAAGTTGTGGGTGAATAGATTAAGAGGTGTCATGGTATAGTACTTCATTCACTGGTTCTTATGATACAAACCATGTACATGTAGATAGCTTGTTCTGATTGGTCCAAAGTTGTGGGTGAATAGATTTAGAGGTGTCATGGTATAGTGGTTCATTCACTTGACTCTCCCCCAAGGGTGTAGGTTCGAACCCCAGCTCGGCATTCACGTCTCATGATAAAAACCACGTACATGTAGATAGCTTGTTCTGATTAGTCCATAGTTGTGGGTGAATAGATTAAGAGATGAAGCATTCACTTGACTCGTCATCTAATAAGGGTGTAGGTTCAATACTCAGCTCGGCATTCACGTCTTTTGGCAAGGCATTAATCCACATTTGCCACTCTCGTGAGTCCAGCCCAACTTTCCATCAAGGTGTTTAATGGGTACCTGGCAAGATTTATTCCTTGAAATGCTCTGTGCAATGATGTCAGCTGCCAGAGTTAAAGGGGGTGTAGCATGACGAGACTATGTGTCATTTCCATGGCCTGACTCAAGGCTGATCAAGTATGATACAACTAAGGACGACACGACCGCAGTATTTTCTTCGGTCTGATTCGCGAACACTAATGGGCCGTTAATCAAGTCCGTTCGTTTACGTGCAGTTGTCCAAAGAAGTCGTAGATGACGTTAACCAGTATTTGCCATGCTACACCCCCTTTAAAGCCAGGGTAATAACCTGCAAATTCTATTGAAGCACCTAGGGATGTTATATCATTATGTGACAAGAAAGGTTTATTAGTATTATTAGATGTAGGGCTGGGAGTAAAAACAGATACCCAGGGGGTTAGAAATGTCTAGTTACTTCTCTCTTTTTTTAAGTAGATGAGTGATACATAACATCATCTGACCAGCAACAAACTAATTTTCTTTGCAGGAACTGCTGGTGTAACTAGCTGTCAACAGTTATCTGTCTAAACCTGAATTAAATAATCACAATAATCAAATATGAAGTCATTTTAGGAGCTAATAAAAAATGATTGGAGGGGAGACTATACTTTTACCGTGATCCCCAAAGTGATATACAGCATACACATGATCTGATGTAACAACTGATTATGACAATGTGAACCACGCAATGGGTTTCACAATTGTCTGGAGAAGTAAATATTTGTATAGTATGCTCAAGTTCTGTCTCTTCTGCTCTCTCTCTCTCTCTCTCCCTCATACTGCTCGTGCATATATCTATGTATAAATTTGTTTTCTTCCTGAATAAATAGTCTGTTATATGAATGATAATTCATGTTTGTCTGGGTTTTTCTTGTTTTGTTTTTTTCTCCAGACAATGCAGTATTTGTTGATGGGCAAGCAGCGAGAAGGAGAATGTATGTGCAATCTAGCATGCCAGATGATCGCTATATCTGTAAGTATAGGGGTATGATGGAGGGGGGGGGAGGCTGATTAGTATCTGTAAGTATGGGGGAGGGGTTTGGGGACAGAGAAAGCAAAAGTGTTTGTGCAAGTACCCCTAGCACTCCCCATGATTGCCATTTCTTGAAATTTAGGGATAGGAGACTGGAGAGGGAAAAAGGGGATGGGGAGGGAAGGGAAGGGAAGGGGGAAGGAGATGGAAAAGGGGGTGGAGAGGGAAGGGACAAAGGGGTGGGGGAGGGAAGGAAAGGGAAGGGAAAGGGGAAGGAGAGGAAGAAAGGGGTGGGGAGGGAAGGGAAGGGAAGGGGGAAGGAGAGGAAGAAAGGGGGTGGGGAGGGAAGGGAAGGGAAGGGGGAAGGAGAGGGAGAAGGGGGTGGGGAGGGGAAGGGAAGGGAAAGGGAAGGGGGAAGGAGAGTAAGAAAGGGGTGGGGAGGGAAGGGAAGGGAAAGGGAAGGGGGAAGGAGAGGAAGAAAGGGGGTGGGGAAGGGAAGGGAAGGGAAAGGGAAGGGGGAAGGAGAGGAAGAAAGGGGTGGGGAGGGAAGGGAAGGGAAAGGGAAGGGGGAAGGAGAGGAAGAAAGGGGGTGGGGGAGGGAAGGGAAGGGAAGGGAAGGGGGAAGGAGAGGAAGAAAGAGGGTGGGGAGGGAAGGGAAGGGAAGGGGGAAGGAGAGGGAGAAAGGGGTGGGGAAGGGAAGGGAAGGAGAGGGAGAAAGGGGTTGGGGGAGGGAAGTGAAGGAGAGGGAGAAAGGGGGTGGGGGAGGGAAGGGAAGGGAGGGAAGGGGTAAGGAGAGGGAGAAAGGGGTTGGGGGAGGGAAGGGAATGGAGGGAAGGGGTAAGGAGAGGGAGAAAGGGGTTGGGGGAGGGAAGGGAAGGGAGGGAAGGGGTAAGGAGAGGAAGAAAGGGGTGGGGAAGGGAAGGGAAGGGAGAAAGGGGGTGGGGGAGGGAAGGGAAGGGAGGGAAGGGGTAAGGAGAGGGAGAAAGGGGTTGGGGGAGGGAAGGGAAGGGAGGGAAGGGGTAAGGAGAGGGAGAAAGGGGTTGGGGGAGGGAAGTGAAGGAGAGGGAGAAAGGGGGTGAGGGAGGGAACGGAAGGGGGAAGGAGAAGGAGAGGGAGAAAGGGGTGGGGAGGGAAGGAAAGGGAAAGGGGGTGGGGAGGGAAGGGAATGGAAGGGGGAAGGAGAAGGAGAAAGGGGGTGGGGGAGGGAAGGGAAGGGAAGGGGGAGGGGGAGGGAAGGGAAGGGAAGGGGGGGGGGGGAAGGAGCGAAAATTGTATTTGCATTCTTGCATGCCAGATGATAGCTTCATCTGTAGATGTCCTGTGTTGGGGCATTATGAGGGGGGGGGGGTAGAAGGAGGAGGGATGAGAAAGGGGGTGGGGAGGGAAGGAAAGGGAAAGGGGGTGGGGAGGGAAGGGAATGGAAGGGGGAAGGAGAAGGAGAAAGGGGTGGGGGAGGGAAGGGAAGGGAAGGGGGAGGGGGAGGGAAGGGAAGGGAAGGGGGGGGGGAGGAGCGAAAATTGTATTTGCATTCTTGCGTGCCAGATGATAGCTTCATCTGTAGGTGTCCTGTGTTGGGGTATTATGAGGGGGGGGGGGGGTAGAAGGAGGAGGGATGAGAAAGGGAGGGAGAGCAAGGGGGAAATGAAAGGGGGAGAAATGGAAGAAAAATGAAGAGACCAATAGAGGGGCAGAGAAAGAAGGGGGAGCATACAAATAGACAGAGGGAGAGAGAGAGAGAGAGAGAGAGAGAGAGAGGGGGGGGGGGGGGAGAAAGGGAATCACTAAATAGGTAGGGTAGGCATTGTAGTGAAACATCTAAAGTTGATAAAAATGATACTTATAATACCGATAGAAAGAGAGAAGGGAGACTAGACTAGACAGATGGAAACACAGACGGAGACATTCCTGTAGACAAACATATATATGAGCACAAAGACAGGTACATCAATGATGAATAAACATAAGCAGAGAGAGAACAAATAAAAGTATAATCTGTGGAAAGAGAGGGAGAGAGAGAGAGGGGGAGAGACAGAGGCTTATTGATAGAAAAATCACTAGGGCAAGTACATAGTATAAGGGATAAATAAACATCTAAGCACATAAAAAGAGACTACAATAGACAGAGAGAAAAAGAGGGACAGAAATAGAGAAAGCCAGCATTGACCACACAATCAACAAATATATTTCAATGTAATGCCTTAAACATAGACGATACTACTTCAAGTAAAAATAACTTTTGGGGTGATCAATACAAGAGGCTCCAGGGTTGCGGTTCCTCTACTGAACCCATTCAAGTAAAAGTAGGTTAAATTGTGTACTTGTCACCGAATATGGGGGAAAATGATGATGTGGCCTGTTTGCAGCCAGAAGGCTGTTATCACATTATTTTATACCTGACACTCCTTTATACAGTTGCATAGTTAATGCCATTCCGGTTCTAAACAGATGGTTTCATCCGTGAAGAGCAAGAAGGGCATTATTCGTTGATCCAGAGTTAACGCCCTTTTTGTAGAAGTATACATACGTCCTTCTTGAACTCATAGAATCATTGCTTAATGGTATTTCTCTGTGATAAGGGATCCGGGCTAACTCGGACCGGGGACAACTCGGCCCGCTGCAATAACAGTCAGTCTTTTTTAATTTGACCCTAATCCTAACTCTAACGCTTACCCTATCCCTAACCCTAAACCTAACCCTAAACCTGCAAAAACTGACTGTTTTTGCAGCGGGCCGAGTTCTCCCGGGTCTGAGTTAGCCCGACTTCATGATGACAAAATATGCCGCTCCCTGTAAACATAATTGACGTGGTGAAGAGGTGTTGTTGTTGAGTGGATATGTCACCGGACTGTGGATTACAAGGCCCGCGGTTCAAGTCCCGCCGCGGCACTAATTCCTTTGGCAAGACATTGATCTTCGTTTGCCACTCTCCACCCAGGTGTTGAATGCGTACCCGGTAGGATGCGAAAGCTAATGTGGTTAGATTAGCAAGTGTGCGCTTGTAAAAATGACGCCTGACTGGAATGCTCCCCAGGGAGTGGAGAATGTGCATACATTGTGTGCAGGTAAGCCTGAATCCAATGACCGGGTTAATAATATACTTATCTGTAAAGTGCTCTGAGAGGGCCTTCGGTCCTGAAATGCGCTATATAAGAACGAGCTATTATTATTCAATAATACAAAAGTCTCCAGGGTTGTGAAATCTCTCATGAACAGCTCTCCGGTAGAAGTAGGACGAGTCATGATCGCACCAGGTATCGAAAAACAGAATAATCATGAACTCTTCATGAAAGAGGTCATGGCAAACGGGACGTTATTTAATAGTTTTTCTTTTATGTGGCTACACACAATACATTCCGTACCATGGCTATAGAAAGGCATTCTGCACCGATTTCAATAGCTTCTACATGGTACAATAGCTAATGTGAAATATGGTCTCTGCTTGTTAAAAGAAATGGGGCTCCTGTAGATATGCATCGTTAAGCCTTTTAAAATACCTTTGCATGGTACAACCGCCTAAGCCTACTTTTGCTGCTTTCATAAATTGTTGCTTTTGAAAATCAGAGAGTACGTAACAAAGTAGTGTGGGTTCATATCACGCTATATTAAGAATAAAAGAAAGAGGCCCACAGGGATGAAATATGTCTACCTGCGAACCATATAATAGCGCTGGCCAAACCCATCCATGCGTGGATGCTGATGCATATAACGATATATTCAGTAAGGGTAGTAAAAAATATTGGTATAAAAGTAGAAGCACGCCACAGTCCCCTTTTACTTTGCATGCTACTCAGCGAGTCAGTCTAGTTGCTGTTGCTAATCGGGAGGTTATGGGTAATTCCATATTGTGTTCATGCATTCTTGTAGTCTGTTCTTGTTAGAGGGAAGAAGTGTCGGGGTCTAGTGGTTTTGTCGCTGGACTGTGAATCATCTGGTTTGTGGTTCAAGTCCCGCTGTGGCACTTATAGCCTTTGGCGAGATATCAATCTCCTTTTACCACTCTTCAGCCAGGTGTAGTAAATGGTTGCCCGGTAGGAGGAAAATTCAGAAAATTCAGAAAATGCTTGTGCGCCTTGTTCATGATAGCTGTGCTTAAGCTAGGGTACTAATATGACGGCAGGGCCCTCGAGGATAATCAAGGACCTAAAATATAGATTGTCATAACAAATCAGTTAAAGTGAGGAATTTTGAGGCTCTCCCATGAAAATCCTTAAAGATGTAGACTTTTTAGGATAAAAACTTTGCATTTGCCAAAATTTGATTTCCGTCTCATTCAGCAATTCATTTTACAATAAATTAAGATCCTGTAAAGCCAGAATTTTTTTGAGACATTAAACTTTCATGCGCTGTTAATGATCACAGTTTTTGATTAAGTTGAAACTTGCCCAGTTAAATTTTTAAAAGTTTTTTTAATCCCAATTCCACAGCATGAAGCTTCTGTTGTGCTGTGTATTACTTTTCTTACAATTTTTATCTTCGTTTTTATCCTCCCTTGTTCTCTTTTTTTCTTGTTGCTGTCTAGATTGTGAGGAATGCAAGGAGCGTTATGAAGGGGAGTGTCCTCTGCACCCCTTCACCATCATCGAAGACAAACCGGTCCCTGGGGAGTGCGAAAACAGGGCCAGATTGACCCTCCCTGATTTCCTCTCCATCCGTCAGTCGGGTGTGGAGGGGTGCGGGGAAGGGGTGTGGGCCGAGAAACACATCCCCAAAGGGGTGCGCTTCGGTCCCTATGCAGGGGAGATTGTGAGCAATGATGCTGGCTACTGGAGTGGATTTGCCTGGGAGGTAGGCCTGCTATGCTTTTAACCCTTTGATTACTAAATTCTGTCATTCCCATTGGTTTAGTACAGAAACAACACAGTTCTCGCAGCAAAGGGTTAACAAGAAATATGTAACTTTTTAATCCTTTAAACCATTAACTTTTTAAGCACCTACCTGACATCCTGTTAGATTAAATACTACCATACACGTTCTTATGTGCTTTAATGTCTAAATATTTGGTGTTGTGTAATGGTATCTCGGGTGCTTGGTCTTCAAGAATCCTCTAGCTTCATTCCTTGAATGCTTGAATGCCTTATCATGGTAGTTCGACTAAAGCCGGGCTGATTATTTCATTACAGGGTCCTCATGGAGAACATTATTAATACTAATGAGGGCCTTCCTGGGATATTCAATGAAATTACTTCATACACTTATCGTTTTTTTACCAGAATTCTACAAAGTCTTGAGGAATATTTCTTCAAGGAAGAAGGTTGCAGAGAGTCCAAATTTCAGGCTACGCCATCTCTTGGTGTCAGTCTTTTTTTAATAACCATTTATTCTCTGCAACACTTACGGGTGGACGATGTTAGTTTGATGTTCTGTCGTAGGGAAATAAGGGGAATTGAGGGCGATTAAACTTTGTGCATGGGTCATATTTGGATATCCTATAGATAGAATCTGCTTTGAAAGGGACATGTTACTGTGGGAGAGTTTGGGCGTAAGGCAGGGAGTCGACTCTGCAAGATGGTTTACTTCAGCTGCAGGATCTGTTTGATACAAAGGCTTTGCATATCATACTTTCTCTGTAGATGGGGCTTGATGGATGGCTGTTATGAAACCTGGATATGTCACAGACTTATTGGCATGAGAAGTCTAGTATAGGGTATTATTATTAATTTGCAAGTTAATTTGACAGTCGTATACTCTAATAGCACAAGAACTTGAACAGGTTGTCATATGCAATGCATGAAAACGAGTGAATTGAAGGCATGTGATGATTATGTCGGGGCATACCGATGGAAAGTTCAACAATAAACCTTACAGTTTGTTTGTTTGGACATCTTTCAGATCTGTGTCCAGGGCAAGGTGATCCACTGCATCGACGGGAAGAATGAGAGGAAGGGCAACTGGCTCCGCTTCGTCAACTGCGCGCGCAACTTGTCCGAGCAGAACCTGGTCGCCTTCCAGCACCTTGGGGAGATCTACTACCACACCTGCAAAGCCATCGAGCCTGCCACGGAACTCTTGGTCTACTACGGGGAGGAATTCGCCAAGAAGCTGGACGTTGTCTCCGAGCTGGCCAGCCTTATGTATGACTCAAGTAAGTCAGATCAGGGAAAAAATTATTCAAAAAATTTGGGGGGCTACTTTTCAAGCTTGCTTGCATGAAAATGACACTCTTTAATTTGTTTTGTGTTGAACTCTATGCAAATTTTGGGGGCTCTTTTTTTACTTTCAGGGGCTCTTTTGGGCAACTTGAGGGCTAATTCACCCCGAGCCCCATGTATTTTTTTCCCTGAGTCAGATACAAGAACGATGTGTATGCATTTACCTCTGAAGATGTTGCAGGAGTCAATAGCAGACCTGCCAACCAGTACGATTTAGTTGTATTTCATACGATTTTTAGAAGCAAATACGACAGTACGATTTTCCCCAATAAAATATGATTTTCTTTTTTTTTTCTTTTTTTTTTCCTTTGTGTGTGTGCCATTTTCAATGGCAAAATGCCCATTCTGTCTCGTCAAGTATCCTACAAGCATCCCACATCGACAATTTTGGGAGGTTCATTGGTTTATCGAATACAACAGTCGTGACAAAATCATGCAAATTCAACCAATGATCCATAACAAAAATTCTTCCTGTATGTAGGAACTGTAAGAAGCATTGATCCGCGTAACAGTTCGTGTTTATTTTTAAGAATACCACTTTTGTCAGTAAAATACAACTTTTGGGATTAAAGAATACAGTTTTTGAATTCCAGTGGTTGGCAGGTCTGCAATAGGCCTGATTTCACAAAGGTGATCTAAAACTAAACCATAGTCTATAAGCTACCAATTTACTTTGGTTGGCCAAGAAAGTGAAAAAAGAACATGAACAAAACTGTCAAAATACAACCAAAGTCAAAGACCTGGATATGTTTTTGCCTCCATTTTTTCAAAAGCTAAACAATATTTATTGATTTATTGATTTTTTCCCTTTGTGTTGTGGACCCTTTTAGCCAAAAGTGAGAAATCAGAGGCGTGGACCCTGGTTTAGGTTTGAATTTCAGTTATTGTGTTTTTCTCTGGTCAGATTGTCTCCTCCATTTCCTAATAACAATACTTCAAGACCAATCGGTCATTTTCATAATGTGATCAATTCGAATGCACCCAATCTTTGTTAAATGCCTCATTACAAATGATTTATTTCACCTGTTACAAATAATTGTATTGCAATAGTCAGAATGCAAATTGCATACATTGATTGTTGCTTGGTAGGACACACATTATGGCTTGTCTCACCTAACAACACATCATGTATGCAATTCACATTCTGACTATTGAAATATAATTATTCATAACAGGTTGATGAAATCAATTGTAACGATTGAGGCACTTGACAATGATTTGTGCATTAAATTTGATTACATTAAGAAAATGGTCTATATTGCAGGAATGAGTTTCAAACATTGTGCAAGTGCAAAGCAGAGAAGGAAAATGAGTTAATTCACTTTTAGGTCGAAGATGAAAGTCTGCAAATCTATTTTGCATTTGATTCAGTTTGTAGTATTTTCCATTAGAACCCCTCTAGAGGATAACAAAGAAAGATACTAGCATGCACTTTTTTCATTGACCTTCATAGGTCAAAAGTCAAAGTCTCTGAGGCCAGTAGAACTGACATTGAAATGCTGGTACTGTTTAAATTTCTGAGAATCCTGTGAGAGATTTCATCATATCTGATTGAGAGTTTATCACAGTATTTACAGGGTAGAAGGTGAAAGGTCATCGGAGTGAAGCTCAGAGAAATAATGCTATGATCCCATTCTTGCAATATGTCTGACTATATTAGTCAGATATTGTGAGATTGTGCCATGTGCTTTGTTGGGTCATGTATTCTATTGATGTGAGAACTGTGTGGGGTAGGAAGACGTGACCATCAAACACTAACATTCTCAGCAGACATACTGATACTGTCTCCCAAAATTGCTTTTACAGAATCTGGAACATACAAGTGTGAGTTCTGCGGTCGACTGTTCACCATTGCCATCTACCTTGCCCGACATCTCCGTTACTCCCACAACAAAGTCATGAAAGGATCTTCCACCAGTCATCATGTGGTCAAGAGCATCGACAGACAGACCCTTGCTGCCATGGTGGCCGAAGCTGAAGCCATGACACGGTTTTCCAACAACGAGGCTTTCACAGGTCAAAGGTCAGACTTCGGCAGTCATGGTTCCGAGGCTAGAGATGAGGATTCAGAGTTAAGAGGTCAGGGTTCAGAGGTTACAGGTGAGAGTTCATATGAGAACGGAGGAGAGAATCCCGTAGAGCAAGCACAGATGAGTGAGAGCTCCCCAGGTTATGAGAATGGAGGTCAAGGGTCGGAGTATTATGATACAGTAGGTCAGAGGTCAGATGAAGAGAGTGAGAGGATGGGTGGTTATGTCATGAGCAATGGCGAGCCAATGATGGATCTAAATTTGCAAAGGTACGAGGAGTATGAACGTAGTAACGGGGACAACGTTTGGGCCGAGATTGAGGGACCTAACAAGGGTGGTTTAGAAGATGCAGCAGGAGGTGGGAAATCGTATGTATGCGGCGTGTGTGGACAGCAGTTTGCTCTTGAACTGGTCTACAATGCTCACATGATCACGCATAGTGTTGTAGATGGACAGAAGTGTGAGTTGTGTGGCGATCTGTTCCCAACAAAGGAAGATCTTGAAGGGCATGCCTGTATGCAGGGCTCAAGGGTGGCAGAAAACGGAAACAACCAAATTAACGTGGATGTCAACAAGCCATTCCTCTGCAATGTTTGCGGCAAACGTTTCAGCCATAAAGAGTACTTGCGCACGCATATACGCATCCACACAGGAGAGAAACCCTACAGCTGTCGCTTCTGCGATAAGTCCTTCACGCAAGGGAGTGCACGCAACACCCATGAAAGGACCCACACCAGGATCAAACCTTTCATGTGTGATGTGCCGACTTGTGGGATGAGGTTCAGAGACGGCAGTCATCTCCGAACCCACAAGCGCATCCACAGTGACTCCAAGCCATTCCAGTGCAGGTTCTGTGGCAAATGCTTCCTCTTTGCAAGTCAGTTGATGCAACACGAGCTTACTCATAGCTCTCTGAAACCCTACATCTGTGGTGTTTGTGGACGAGGTTTTAATCAGAAGGCATACTTGCGTGTGCATGAACGTTTGCATACTGGTGAAAAGCCTTATCCATGTAGAGTTTGCGGGAAACGCTTCAACCAGATGACATCCCGTAATGTCCATGAACAGAAGCATGGCAACTGGGGTATGTATGACTGCAAGAAGTGCAGTCTAAGCTTCAAACGAAGCAGAGACTTGCTTCGGCATGAGTGCAGTGGCATGCATGGGGGAAATGGCCTCCCAGCTATGCTTATGCAGCAGCCAATCCATCCTGCCCCGATGCAGCAGCGGCAAGTATTCCCTTGTAGACAATGTCCTGAGGTTTTTGCGTCTTCCTCAGAACTGCAACAACATCAGCAGTCCCATGTGCTGCGCCCGTTCTCATGTGACATATGCAGCAAACGTTTCACGCACAGGAGCTACCTGGAGATCCATGTCCGGATCCACACCGGGGAGAAACCCTACTCTTGTAAGTACTGCGGGAAGACCTTCAGTCAAACCAGTTCTAGGAACGCGCATGAGAGGATCCATGAAAGGATTAAAGCAGCGAAAGAAGCTGAACAGAATTGCAAGCAAGCGCAAGAAGCCTTAGAGAACGAAGCTGCAGAGATAGCACATGGAGAGAAGGAAGGCGAGAAGGCTCCAGAAACGAATAGCGAAAATTCCACTGTGCCAAATCTTCCAGTGCGTCAAGCTATCCAAAGCTGTCGATATTGCAATAAAACCTTCACTGATGCTGCCTTGCTGGTCAGCCATGAGCAGACGCACATGCGGCCAAGGGATCATATCTGCGGTTTTTGCGGGAAGGCTTTCAGCAAAGGCCGATATCTGCAAATTCATGAACGCACGCACACGGGCGAAAAACCATACCAATGTCGGTACTGTTCCAAGCGTTTCACCCAAGGGAGCTCTCGTAATGTTCACGAGAGAATACATGTAAGAAATGGGGACTACAAACTGAGCCCCCTGTCCCCTGTAGATCAAATGCCAACGCCTAGTTCAAACGTTCCATATGATACCATTCCAAATTACAATGCGCAGAATCTATTAATGGACCAGTCCAACTCTGCCTTGCGTCCACTGTACAACTGTAGGTTCTGCAGCATGCGCTTTGACGACACTGCTGCACTTGCGCACCACGAGAAAGTGCATGGTATACGACCCTTCATCTGCAACATATGTGGAAGGACTTTCACACAGAGTCGCTACTTGCAGATCCATGTGCGCACGCATATCGGTGAGCAGCCTTACCCTTGCCGCTTCTGCAGCAAGCGCTTCTCCCAGTGTAGTGCCAGGAACATGCATGAACGGATCCATACGGAGTTCCGACCCCACCAATGCCCCGTGTGCGGCAAGTCGTTCATTGTGAACAGCGCCCTGCAGAAGCACCTTCAGAAACATCAGTTCGTGGGCAATCCTTCCCTGCCCGGGAGTGAGAAAGCTCCACCACCGCAAAACATGCTATTACTCTGATGAGGGTTGAACCCTTTCACATATGTATTCACTGCCTTTGGATGTTTGTAGTTCTTGTGTTTGCTCTGTGTCAGAAGGTGAAGACTGGATTTACATGCCATGTAAATAATGGTTCCATATGGACACCAAGAAGAAGCAAGGATCCATACAAGAGAGTTTGCAGAATGCCTCTTTACTTCACAATCGAACAGAGCCCCAGTAGATTGACAATGGAAACAAACCCTTTGTTTCATCGAAAAGAAAACAAATTCTGTCAAATATCTCTGGCAGATCAATATTTTGATGCAGATGATGTCCCTTGATAATAATATAATAATAGTTAGCTTTTATACAAATGTCTCTAAGCGCTTTACAAATATATTATTACCCCGGTAATAAACATAACTGATTCAATGAACCCTTTTGGGCTCTAGGAAGGCACTTGATCCCTTTAGGCCTGCAGGACTTGTTACAATTATAATTTCTTAACACATCGATACTCAAGAAATACAGAAGAGAGACAATTGATCAGTCAATATGTCAAGTTGTCACTCTGAACCATACGCTATGCACACAATAACACTGTCACATTTACATATGAAATAACCCATTAAACACTTAAAGTCCAAGAGAATTAGGGAGGCTGGAGTCAATGAAAAATCAAATCATATCCTAAGGGTTATTGGGGATTGGTTGAAGGGTTCAAGAACTTTAAATAAGTACAGGACTTTGCTGAAAATATGTAGAGGTTGATAGCTCGCATCTTGCCTGGTATGTTACCATTTTTAAAAATAATTCATATTTTGTTCTGAAAAGTTGAACAACCCAGGGGATGGGTGATATTAGGACCACTGTGTGTTGTTTTAATGAGAAAGTGAGAGAGAGAGAGAGAGAGAGAGAGAGAGAGAGACAGACAGACAGAGGGACAGAGGTGGAGATGGAGGACAGGGGTATGGAGAGATGATTAGAGAAGTGAGAGAGAGAAAAAGAAAGGAACAGAGAAAGAAAGAAAGAGGTCGTTCGTTCGTTCGTGCAAAGAATATCAGGGAGTAAAAGAAAGAGTTGATAAGTGAAGACAAGATAAGGAGATAGATGGGATGAAGAACGTCAATAAAGAAAGAGCAGCAGAGAGAGAGAGAGAGAGAGAGAAAGTGGGGTAGAGAAAGAGAGAGTGGGAGAGAGAGAGAGAGAGAGAGAGAGGGAGAAGGGGATATCAGTTCTTTGAGAGAAGGGAAGTTTACAGTATAAATTTCAATGGTCCTCTGTTCATACGAACAAACCCTGACCCTACACTGTAGTGCCATCGTAATTACGTGCCATAGTTCATAATTCTTCAACTCCAACAAAAGTCTGCCCATGAACGGACAGCTTGAACAGATAACGAACGATTTGATGGGAGGTTTCTGTAGCGCAACTCAACCTTGCAATAACGTTTTATCAGCATTATGAGAGTGTAGAGAAGTATAGATGAATGATTCCAATATAACATGATCGAATCCACCAAAAAGAGATGATTTAATCGCAGCTGTTTTTATGATGATGTAATTTTTGCCACAAGAATAAACCAAACTTTGTAATTCTGATCATATTTAGTCAGACTAATGTGATGATCACTAAACCTTGTATTTTTGTCTTTTTTATACAGTTTTTAGAGATTCTATATTATTGGGATGATGTGACTTGTTTTTTGTTTTTATCATGGTAGTAATTCATATTTGTCTTGCCTAAAGGTATGTATTCAATTGCTGAAGTAGACTATATTTTGTTGGTTTGTGTGTGTCTTACGGTGAAGCACGATTTCAACGTAACTTCACCCAGTGTAATATGCAGCCCTTTCAGACAATCATTATCTTTTATTTGTGTCATCTTGAAGTAGGTATCTGGCCCTGTTTCATAAAACTGGTTATCAATAACAAGTTACGATAGTTGTTATAAGCTACTGAAATCCTCGCATTTGATTGGCTGAGAGCAAATTTGTCATAGAAATTTAGCATTTGTTATAGATAAAACGTTTTATGAAACGGGGCCCTGAGGTTTGAGAATTCTTTTTCTTTGCGAATTGTAGACATAGACCAGTTCACAAATTCACATGTATTCATCGCATTTTTGTGGGGGTCCTTGTAATGACCCAAAAGCTCACTCGATGTGTGTCAGCAATGTAATTTTCTTTCTCCTGGGCCTTTAAAACACAGTTTAGACAAAATTTCTAGCTCATTAAATACAATTTGGGGACTACATTCTCACTGTTAAAATACATTTTAAAAAAGAATGCAATACGGTATCACATAGTATCTGAGGAATAAGTATACTTAAAGTTGAAACCATATATGGGAACTGGTCTTTTATTGTCGTCAGCAGAAAGAAAAAGGAAAAATAGATATACCTGTAAGCTCTTTCTGGGAATACCTTAAGGTCACCGAATACACACATATTGCCAGAAAAAAAAATGCATTTCATGTTATTGTTGATGCCTTGTGTTTGTTTATTAAGATGCAACAGGCAATTTCATATTTTTGTTTTCTCGGTACTTATATGGCCCAAGGCCGGAACTTTATTGAAAATGAAACCTTGTAGAATTGCTCTTCAATGTATGCAAGATTCTTTTGTGTAGAACTAGTTGCAATATAACTTTCTTTTAGGTCAAACAGAGTATCTGTAGCTTAGCAATATGTCTTACCATTCTTTCCCTCGCAATGCCAGACTATTTTTTTAACGTCTGATTTTCTCTTGTGCTTGCTTTCTTGTGTTGGTTAAATGCAATTCTTCTATTTATAAATGGATTGAGTGAGAATGTGGGTTCAGTATTATTTTTAGTTTTGTATATGTTCTAAAAGAATTCTCTGAAAGTGTGATTGCCATTGTATGTTTTTTTTTCTTTTAAAGACGCCATATGTTCATAACCGACACATTAATGTAGAAATGTTCATTTTTAAAAGGTGCTTGGATTGTCGATGTGTATAATAGCAGTTCAGATTTTACACTGTGGAAGTGTATTGTTTTTTACTCTAGGATTTCATTCCATTGTTCTGTTATCTCCTATTTTTCTTTGTGTATCTAGACCAATCTTTCCCATTCCCTCATAAATATTGAAGTATGATAATATATCTTTAAAAGATCATTTCATTGAGGTGGAAGGACCAAAAACACGAATACTTATGATGTCCTGTTTTGGTGTATTTATGCAGAATAATGAATAATGTACATGTAATTGCAACTCATGTATTGTAAGTCTTCATCTTGTTTTAATATTTGTAATAGTTCAAATCATGTATGTGTATTCCTTCCGTGTGACTGAATTCATGGAAATTTTGCAATGTGGTAGCTCAGAAGCATTATGTGTTCGTAATCTAACAAAGATTTATTCATCAACTTGTCATCAATGGTAGTGCCAAAGTGAAAAAAAAGAAAAGAAATTAAGGTCTTTCTAGTGTGGAGAGTAGTATTCAAAAATATACATGCATTTTGTATATTGTGATGATTATATATCCGATGTCGTTGTACAGTGAGTTTTTTTAAGTGTTTCTATCCAGCTTGTTACACCCAGCCCGGCAGGCTCAAAGTGTTTGAGGAAATTTCAGTTGATTTGGGGATTTAGATTGCTCGGTGGAAAAAAATTTGCCCCAAATCTGAAAGTTACGAAGTTCCACACAGACTGAGTTTAGGGTATATGCCATTACCCTTTGGTTTACATGTATAACTCGGGATTACCAAGTCCTTTGGATAGGACTTAAAGCTGTACGTCCACCGATCGCTTCTTTATTTTTTTACAAGAATGAACTTCCTATCTATCAGCTATTCAGCATTTGGATGTAGTAAACATCATCATCAAACTGCTAAGAGCTAGAGTTCTGCAAATGAAGAAATAAGCCCAGTAAAACTTTGTCAGAATATAACCAATAGTTACCTTCATGGCTGAAATCCATGAAGGTTTTTTTTTCAGTGGCAGATCCAAGGCTGTCAGAAATAGGGGGCGGGAATGTTTTTAAAAATAATTGAAATCCCTTGCAAGCTAATTAAGACAGCATCTCAAAATACTGTTGTCAGTAATTTGGGGCTGATCCATTTTTCCCCCTGAAAGTGGCTCTCATACCTCTGAGTGATTGCCTCTGGTGATTGTGGCAATGTCTTAATTGGAGGCACAGGCTGGGTAGGTAGATGCTGTATAGAAACACTCTTTATGCCAATGTATGTATTCTATGGAGAAATGAATTCAAAGTTTGTAACATAGTGTAAAGTACATGTAATCAATCTTGAATGTCGGGAGAAGGAATGGAAAAGAAGTAGAGGTTATTCAACGATGTTTTATGGTGGTGTATCAATTAACAAATGAAAATAATGTTTTTTACATGTGTAATTGTCTGTGCTTTGTACACATGAAATGTAGAAATTTGCAAGATGTTTAGTGCAGGTTTGATTGTGTTGTTCACCCTTTGTTGAGTTACAATGGATGGGAAATATTAAATAAAGATATAGTGGAATAATTACTATCAAATTTGTATAAGGAAGAAGGTATTGTAAGAAATGTTAGCACTCTGTTCGCACAAGTTTGTTTTCATAAATTGCCAAATAAGCCTTTGATAATTAAATGCAGGCAGGAAATTGGTGTTGGGATTAATTGTATTTAAGAATTTCATCAGTGAACTTGCACAAATTTTACTTCAATTTGAAACAAATTTATATAGCACATGGAATTGAGTGGCTGCACTGCTGTCAAAATGACATTTAAAAAAGTTAAGAATGCAGCTGACTCTTCTAACTAACCCTCTTGCCAGTGGTACGCTAAATTTGCAAATTAGTTAACTAATAACTAATATCATTTTCAGAGGTTTTTTCTCTTTTTGTGAAGCATGCAAATAGGGTCCTAACCAGAAATCACCTTTGTTTAACTTCTATGAATATTTTTAAATTTGGGGAATGGAGGATAGTGAAAGGAATGTGCTTTTATGTTTTGTGTCACTCCTGAGTATTATGTTGCAAAGTCTGTGTAGTCCAATGTGTAAGCTTATTGGAAATATCACCCCAAGAAATAACTTCAGTTATTCTGAGAGATTTATTGTATTGTTGCCTTTTAATCTAAAAGATTCCCCACTAAAGGGTATGAGAGAGGTTTACAGCAAGATATTCTTAGCATAATGTACAGTTTCTCAGCAGGACATGGGCATCACCATTTTCTTGATAACGTGACGTACTATGCAAAGTCATTTATCAAGTAAATGTATTTCAATTTATGGATACTTCCTTCCGAGGTGTATGATGTGATTAAGTATTTCATTCAACTGCCAATTATCCTTTGTACTACAATTATCAGAACGCAAATTGCATAAATCAGTCGATGCTCTTCTGGGGTCATGGTTTTGCTTAACTGAAACAGATTTGTCTATTGCTATATGTTATTACTTTTAAATAAATGAGTTACAATTTATATAGTTTTCACCAAAGATAATTCTTACCTTCTCAGCAATGATTTTCCCTCATTGAAAAGTAAAGGTTTTGTTGTTGAATTAAAATCATTTCCGACTAAAGCTTGGTGCATGATACATGTACACGTTTGCCTGGTACATTATCAAGAAAATGGCTTCACCCATGTCATGCTATAACTCATTACATCATGCCAAGAATATCTTCATTTATATATCTCTTGTAAGCTTATGTAAGGAATATTGTACATTATAAAGGCAGGAATACATCCCATCTTTCAGTATGCCTGCACTTGTTCTTGGGGGTGAAGTTTCCTTTAATTATTTGTATGAAGAAAAAAAAATGAATGATAGCTCGCAACATACATATATACCAAAGACGTAGATATCTTGTATTCTGAATGCAGATATTTTTTGTTAAACAAATGGGACCACTAAATGTCGTTAAATATATGATTACTTCTAAAGTAATGTTTAGTGTAATTTTATCTGAATAATGATGTAAAAATGAGTATGTTTTTAGAATATGTACATGTATATCGGTGATTGTAGTTTACTAATGACCTAATCATGTATTACTAATCCTTTGTTTACAGGACTGTCTACTTTCAAGTTGTTACTATTCAATAACTTTCTAGAGTCAAACTCAAAAGGTGTTGTTTTTTCAGTGGTACTTATTTTTTTCCTAGTCATACCAATGGCTGATTCAGTAACTTATTTGTTTGCCTAGCAAGTGTGTTGTAAATAATTTGTTATCGATTTTAGTTACTTGAGTAGATTCTTCCATTAAGATGTTAATGTATAATTGTGTGCAACAGCCTTTGTTGTGAAAGTGAATTATCCCAACCCCTTTCCGTGCTACTAGCTAGTTGGGTTCACACGGCGGATCCTAAAATTAAAAGTTTAGGTCAGGAGTTAAACTCACAGGTTATTCTGTTTCTATGAACCCTGCAGATGCACTCATGGTTATGAAACTTTAAGATCACTTGAAATAATAAACCATGAACGATCTTAGGGTAACGCGATAGCTGTGTCTACTCTGTTCTCACTAAAATGTATTCGCCAGATAGTCAAGAAGACTGTTTGCCTGGCTCATGGTTTAAAACTCTGGATATGCGTTGTTTCGGTCCCATGTGAACCTTTATCAGGGTTTAATTCATTGTTTAAAATTCCGAGGTTTCACAAACTTAAAGTTTAAAACTATAACAGTCACATATGAACATGGCTGTTATGAACAGTTATACTGAATGCATATTCAAGAGCCTATTTATGGACTTAATCTTCATGTAATTGTTAACAGCTATACAGGTATAAGAACATTGACCATCTTGGCTGGCCGCAACAAGGCTGTAAAAGCTTTGTATTGTCAATAGCA